ATGGGTAAGGTGATGTATTATTCATAATAGAGTAGTATGTGGAATAAGCTTGCGGTCGATAGCGTTGGTAACCTCTGAACTATTATCTTTCAAAGCTCACAGCTTGAGCTTCAAATTTTTTTTTTTAGTGCTTTTTTGGTAGGAGCTTCTCATTCTTCCAACTTGTCATTCTTAATGATATTTTCAATGATTTCGCTTAAGATCACCATGTCGATGAAATTTTTTGTTGCATTTCCTATCATTTGTTCATAATAAGGAGATTTTAAAATGCTCATAAATAATATTGTGGTATCTTTCTCAGTCAAAGGTGGCTAAACTTGAGTAGTTATGTCCTTCTATCTTTGGGCATACTCTTTAAATGATTCAAATATTTTTTTCTCCATATTCTGTAAAAAAAAAAGGCAATCAAAAGCTAGATCTATGTTATACCAATACTAACTGATGAAGTTACGGCCATATCACTTTAGGACTGAACACGGGTCCTATCTAACTGGATATACCATCTAGCAGCAAAGTCAAAAAGGTTGTTTTGAAATATGTGCATTAGCAGTTTCTCATTATTAGCATAGGTTACCATTTTTTTACAATATATGGTAATATGAATTTTTTGACACTTTGTATCATCATATTTTTTGAACTCAAGAGTCTTGAACTTTAGCAGAATAACAACATCTAGGACTAAACAAAGCTCAGCAGCATCCACGAAACCATAAAAACTAATTTCCTCTATTGCTCGTAACCTTTCTTCGAGCATATTAATCTTCCTATCAGCTATTGAGTCCCCAACAACTTGACCACTTTTGTTTTCTCTCCCTCTTTTAGGTAATCCATATTAGGGATATAGATTGGTTCTACTACCTTCTCAATAAAGATAAGATTTACATAACTTTGGTAATGCCATGGATTTGAAGCTGATGGCATTCTAGGATATATATGCCCTTTAAGGTATGTGAACTGCTGTGGTTAAGCATTTTGTGTAGACTGGGCTTGATACGACCCATAACCATGAAGGTATAGAGGGTCAACCACCTCTTATGATGGAAGGTCCTATTAGCTAGTAGTTTTTTCTATACTTTTTCCCTTGTTCAATTTATTCAAAGCCTCCAAAATCTCACTCAATTCCCCTTCAAGCTTCTTTTGAACTTTTTCTATCTTCTCGAAATGATTGAAATTTTCTTATTCCATTTGTCCAGCTCAAACTCTTGTATTGTATTGGTGAGTTAATTGTGCGGGGTTCTTGCTTGGTGGAGCTATCCTTGAACTTTGAGTACCACAATTGTATCATTATTAGAAATGCTATGCTTTATGTTTGGTATTTTAATGCATGAATGAAATGTACTAATATTTGCCACATAACTATCATTTTATATTACTACATTTTCATAGATATAGGTATGAGATCTAATTTATTAATAACTAATATGTAGCAAATATTCCCTATATGAAAATGATGCAAATGCTCAATGTTAAACTTGACAATGAAAATGATGCATAAAATTAAATGATAATGTAAGCACTAATTGAAATTATGCAAATGCACAAAGTCAAACAAATAAAATGGTTAGATAATCAATATATCACACAAATTGTTCCTTCTTGTATCCTAACTTCAAGTTACGTTTATCAACAGGTAGAAAGGGCTCTATCTTAAGGTTGGCCTCTTAAGTGTAGATTTTATACTGGGCTAAGTGATTTAAACTACTATAAGTTCTTAAATTGTTCCTTACATCATTGTCTATCACAAACTAGTAAGGCATTCCAATCCTCACCCATCATAGGCTACCAACAGAAAAGATTCAATTTGAATGGAAGTATTTTGCTAGCCATTATAGAGATTATCATTTCACGAAAGTGTAGGTACTTTACTCATTCTTAAGAGGGATAGAGCTCGGGTATAGAACTCATGTAATGCAAATGCATATGATATTGTATATAAAGGAACATATAGGTTTTCAAATCCCATAAATAAAAGACAGAAAAGAATAACGTTAGTAAATAAATAACATAATCATTACATTTTAAAAGCATTCGCTCAAAGGATAGGATAAATTGAAAATGTTATGGCCTGACTCTTTAGTATTTCTAGTGAAGTTGCTAAACTGTCATAACGTATAGATCCATAAATCTATAGCTAGACTTAACAAGAGAAGTTACTATCAATCTTTTTATTAAAGTGTGATTGGCCACAATTCTTTTAAAGAGCTCCCAAGCTTGACTAAAGGTTCCTAAAGAATAGGTTCTGGTCTACTAATTAGAATAAGGTTCGAGTGTTTTGTTACATTTGGTTACATAAAAGGAAGGTTATAACACTCCTACATGCCTATCCAAAAAACAATACCATTTTATTTTAAATTATCCTAAGGTTTTGATTCTAATGGTCTTAAATTTAATATTGAAAATAATTTTTAAGATTTCTTCATCAATCTTACAGAATTCTTAAAAATATTCTCACTTTGAGAGTATTCAAGAATCCCATTTGCTTTTTTGAAGAGGCTCCGTCGTCGAAAAAATTTAATCATTTTTGTTTATTGAAAATATATCTAATTCTTCCACTATTTAGGCCTAAATTAGAATAGTTTCTCATCTAGAAATTGTTTAGATAATCATCCATTTGTAATTACTAAAAATTTCATCCTTTGAAAATTATTTTTTATTTTACAAGTTTTATTTCTAAATTTTTCACCATTTGGGTCTATTTAGAAAAAATAAATTCCTTCATTTTCTAAATTTTTTACCATTTGTTAAATTTAAAATCTAAACTCTTGTTAGTTTATTAATCCTTAGAAAGAAAATAATATGATAATTATTTTTTTAAATCTCATTTAAATTCTTCCACCATTTAGGTTGAATTTAAAGAAATTTCTAGGTTAGAGATTTCTTTGAAAATTTACCATTTGAAATTTTTAAGATTCTCATCCTTGGATAATTATCAAATATTTTACCCAAAATTTTAAGTTATATTTTAAATTTTTATTTGGAAAAGAATACAATTACTTTTATTGAAATTTCAACTAAATTATTTCATCATTTGGATAGAATTTAAAAAAATTCATCACCTAGTGATTTCTTAGGAAATTTATTATTTGAAATTTTTAAAAATCTCATTGTTAGGTAATTAGTATTTTAATTCCAAAATTTTATTAAATTTGTGTTTTTTTATTTTTTAAAAAATTAAAAATTAAAAATAAATATTAATTATTATTATTATTATTATTATTAATTTTATCCAAATTTTCTTCATTTGGGATAAATTTAAAAAAATTTCTCACCTAAAAATTTTATAGAAATTAACCTTTTGCAATTTCTAAAAATTTCATCATTGGATAATTATTACTTATTCTAAAAAAATTATTACTATTTTATTTTGTTCTATTTTTTCATTTTCTTCTTTAATTTTTTCTAAAATTTAATCATGTAAAAATACTTTAAAACAAAATAAATAAATAAACAAATAAAATAAAATAAAACCAAAACAAGAACCGACTCGGCTCGGTTAGAATGTGTGACTCAATTACGAGAAAGAAAAATGGCTAGAATGACTTTGTTTTCAGCTCGTCTCGGTTGGTGCCAAGGGTTATGGAACACAGGTCAAGGACGAGTTTGTGCTATGGGTCGGGTCACCCACTTACAAACATGCAAATCTTGGGTAGAACTCAATGTCAAAATGATGTCATTTCAGTGGGGTATAAAAGGGCCAATTTTTTTACTTTTTCCTCAGATTTCTTCTTTCCCCTTTCTCTCCTCGTTTCTTTTCTCTATTATTTCTCTAGAAAACAGATGAACGTTAGTTGAAGCTTTGCCGAATTCTGAAAAATGGCATCGAAATCTGGACAGTTTCGTCAGGAATCCTGTTGGATATTGTGAATGGTTGCTGGAAGATAGCCAAAATATGAAATTCTTTGCCAGAAAAGATGAATTTTACCATAAACTTTTGCTAAAATGTAAAAATTTTTCAAAAAACTTATTCTAACACTAGATCTCTCTCTTAATCCCTTAGCAACACCATATCAACTTCATGATTCTAAAACTCAAATACTTTTTCTGCCAAAAACTATTCTAAAACAAAAATCTCGTGCTTTTTGCTGTGTTTATTTTTTGCCTATTTGTGTGTTCTTTATTCTGCGCTTTTGTGTGTTCTATTACTTGATTTAAGTTTGTATCTATAGAGTTTAAATTAAGAGAATCCTATATTAAATAGAGTTTTAATTTCCCTTTAATTCTCCCTTTAAACTTTAAGTTCAACTCTAATTTTACGATCCAAATAAACAGTTTCATACAAACTCAACCACCTTTTTTTTTTTCATTTATTTATTTAACAAAAAAAAATAAACAATTACAACTTACAAATAGGGGTATCTTTAATAATATAAAAACTAAATTCTTTTAAATAGTATTAGAGGGACCAAATTCCTAAGAATGGAAGAGTACAAAGACTTGTGGCACGTTTTGACCGAATATAAATTAAGATAGACTGATAGTTCATATTATTTCCCCAACAAAAAGCTTTAAGTTAAAACTTTCTCTGCTAATTTTTTTTTTCAATAAAACCATATTCTTTCCTCATCCCCAACCAGTTATGCCCAAGTTGGGGGAGGGGGGAGAGTGGGGATTGTGAATGACTTAAAACTGATCAGATCATGCAGTTTCGCTTCGTACTTCAATCTATAGAACTTATGTCTGCAGTAAATCCTGCAGGATGCTTAATCTGGGATATGAACCTACGAAGCCTGCCAACAAGGTGAACCGCACCTCAGCTTAATTTCAGCCCCTGTTCTTCATGAATTTTAGAAGGCATACATAGTAAAATTAAGCGTAGATGTGGAAAAGATAGTTCATCACTTTACTGAATAATTAATGGATAAAAAAGGTAAACTAATAATGTATCAATGCTAGACAAAAGAAGATGAGGGAGATAGCCTTCAAAACTTACAGGCATAATCACATTGGTTCAGTTTTAGCATCTACATCACACTATCTATTCAGGAAGGCCTAGCTTCTCCTCATATAAATTTCAATAAAAAAGGATCACCATAAGGGTTCACAAACCTTTGGAGGAACTCATTTTCAGTATACATCAACATAAGATTAACACTGAATTTCTCAATCAAACCTTTGGATAACAAAGCTCGAAGAACCGAACATCTAGGGATAATTCTCCTCTCCAAGCGATATGAAAGAAAAACCAGACGGTTCGCAATATATGAAGATTTCAAGCCCATTGTGTTGATAAAAAAATTCATTAGTGCTGTGACTTTGTGCTCAGAAAACATCATGAATCTTGGATACTTCTCAAAAGCAGAAACAATATCTTCATCAGACCAACCCCATTGTTTAAAAACATTGAATTTCCTTTCCCATGCTGATTTGCTAATTTGTAACAAAGCTTGGAGAGCAACAAGGAAATTCGCCTTAAAGGGTTAAAACCCAACTTCTTTACTTGTTCCACCGTTCTTCTAAACTTATCAGGATTCACAGCAAAGACTCTTGGGTGGACGATGCCCTATATTCTTTCAGAACTGCCAGATTAGGAGCAGCAATAGACAGGAAATTACGAGAAAGGATTTCTGAAAAATTCTTGTACTCTAGAAAAACCGGATTATCTACGCAGTGAGTGAAATCCTTAAAGGAATTGAAACTGGGGATGATGCAGTTATCTAAACTGCGTCTCAAGACGTCTGGGTTCGTGGACAAGATTCTTGCAAGATGAAAAGCTGAAATTCGTTTGGAGTGAAAGAATTGGAGTTTGGGTAAAAGGGTTCTCTCAGGATTGCACAAAAGTAATCTGGAGCATTTTTGGATCAGATTTCTGATATGGGTTGTGAAAAGGCATGGTTCTGGGAGAAGCTACTCACAGTGTCTGGCTGTTGAAAGGTCTCAAAATGGATTTTCTTAGAAACTGATAAAGCAGATTGCGGGGTGAACCCAAGTGAGTTCATGAGGTAAGAAATCTTAAACGAGTGTTCATTTCTGCAATTCCTGATACATATCTAACAGCTAATAATGAAATTATTTCAGGGTTTTGAAATAAGTTGAAATCTTTAGCTGAAGTTGGTAGAATCCAGGAGCCACCTCTCATGTAGAGTTGGTTTTTGCAGATAGAATAAATCATTGATTCCATGACTGAAACTTTAACACTGAAGGAAGCAAATTAAGACCAAAATAATGAGAAAACACACATCTTGAACTCAGCCCATTGTAACTTCTACCAATACGTCCCCTTCGGTTCCAGCTTCTAACTGCTTGCATATGAAACCATTTCTCTTCATTCGAGCAAGATTCCTTTTCAGCCTTCAGTGAAACCTACTCGGTTGAAAATGCAAATTAAAGAGGGGTTTCTGGTTTGGGGTTCCACTAAATTGAACTCTTTTATGTGTTTGATAATTGCCTCTTAATGGGTCATGTTTCCCATGGAAACCTTCCTCGGTTGCAGATAAAGCGTTTATCTTGTCTCGTTGGCAGAATTAGGTTTTATTTTTGGATTTATGTTCGTCAGTTTTTCCCTTAAAAGAATGTTTTTAAAAATCTTTACTCTCAAAACAGGTACTTAATATCCTTATTTCAAAAAAAATTTAAATACTCATTTGCCCTACATATAAATTGTGGTTTAGTATTTTAATTTTTATTTCATCATTTATTTTAATATTTAGGATTAGTAGTTTTAATCAATTTATTGATGAGATATAAACATTTAATAAAACGTTAAAATATATCAAAAAATTTTAATCAATGTTACTTATCGATTACTATATCAATATTAAAAAAGTTACAAAAAATTAAAAATATATATGAAATATTTTTTAAAATTCAAAAATTTGAAATATTTTAAAAAATTATAAATTTCAAAAATATATAAAAATTTTAAAAATTCTAAAAATTCTAAAATATAAAAATTTATATAACAATAAAAATTTTTAAGATTAAAAAGAAATCACAAAAACATAAATAACTAGAAATTATAAAATTAAAAAATTAAAAAAAATTTTTGAAACATCAAAAAATTAAGAAAAAATAAAACATTCTAAAAAATTTATAAGAAATTAAAAATTTTATAAAAAATAAAAAAAATTATTAAAAATCCAAGAAAATTACAAAAATTCTGAAAATTTCAAAAATATAAAAATGAAAATTTTTAGATTTTTGCAATAAAATTTAGATTTTTTTAATTTTCAATTTTTGAAAGTTTTGTGAAACTTTTTTTTTTAATTTTTAAAATTTTTTTCAATTTTCAATTTTAAAAAATTTTTAAATTATTTCAGATTTTAAAAAATTTTTAGGTCTTTTAATTTTTTATTATTTTAAAAAAAAATTTTAAAAATTTTCTTTTAATGTCAACGTAACAATTAGTGATATGATGTTAATTGAACTTTTTTTAACATATAATATCATCTTATTCAATGTTTATATTATATAAACAAGTTGATTGAAGCTTTAGTTTCAAGTATCTAAATAGATGATAAAATTAAAATTAAAATATAAATTTGGTAATTTTATTTGTTTACATTCCAAGCAAATAAAAAATTATATAATATCAAATATGCATTTATCCTTTGAAAAATATAAGGTATTTTTTTGTCGCATAAACACTTGATCATCACATTGCTATTGACTTTTTTCTTAACTCCTTTTTTTTTTTTTTTTTGTTCTCTATCAATTCTTGTCGTTCTTTTCTCAATCTTTTCTTTGTCCAAACACAATCATTATGATATGAAGTTACCATAAAAAGAGCAAAATATTTCAATTGATCTCAAACTAATTGAATCAACGATAAAAATCAATTTGATCTACAAAAAAATCCATGTGAACAACTCCTAAAAGAAGATAAGTCGTTGTGAACCGATTCCCAGTTCATCTGCATACAATATCATGACAATTCTTCAGGCTCTTTAGGAATTATCTTGATTTCTCGTCGTTGTTCAAGACTTTTTCCTGTTAGTAAATCAGCCATGTATTCTTTTGTCTGTCTGGTTATATCCCTCTGTTGCCAAGTCCAACTGTCATCAAGAAGATTTTGTAGGGCTCTCACGCCTGTTATAAATACCAGCAGCGGTGAAATATTCACATCATCATTAGAATCCCATTTATGGTTTCCTCCAATTTGGTAGAATCTTCCTTTTCTTAGTTTCATAATATTTGTTGAGATTTGAAACTTTCTTTACTTTTTCCATTGTTTTCGGTTGACATTGTATATCTTTGTTTTCTGGATGCATAAAGCCCATGTCAATATCTATTTTACAAGCAATTAGCATCTGGGTGTTGCAATTCTCTGCTTTCTTACACTGTCATGGGAGTAAACTTTAGAGGAATAGTATTAAGCATCGGTGAAAACTTAGCAGATATCTTTCGCATGAATATTTCAGAGCATAAATGAAGATATCTTTCACATGGGACCAGGGGAGTAAACCCTACAGACTTATTAGAGCATAATCAAAAGCCTAAGTGATGCTAATCAATCTAGATTATGGTGCAAATGATACATCGGTGCTTATAAGTTATTCGAATTTTATTTGGTTATTATCGTGTTGAGCTCTAGTTCTATTAGGTTGACTTATCGAGCATCTTAAGTTCGAATATTTTAATACCTTATTCGATTAATTTGCAAGTCTAATTAAATTTTTATATTTTAATATATATTTTATTATTTTACTTAAAATTTTATTATTTTATTTATATACATATCAATTCGAGCTTGAATTTGAGTTCAAGTATAAATAATCAAACTTAAAGTTGAGTTCTTTTTATTTAATAAACGAGTCAAATTAAACGAGTTTAAATAGCTCAATATTTATATCAAGTTGAGTTTAAATTTAAAAATTAAAATTTAATCAAACTCAAATTAAATTTTGAATAATAAATTTGAAATTAACTTCAAACTTTTTATTATATCAATTTGACTTAATTCGATTGTACTTTTAATTCAAACAAAAATATCTTTTACATGAATATATAACTCATAAAGTAAGATACCTATTGATTAGTGTTGACATGAAGTCATTCACATAATGATTGTAATTGGACAGAGAAACAACCTAGGAAAAAAAAAAAGAAAAATTTGGAGAAAGAAAACAAGAGTAAGGGAACAAAATTACTCAAGAGTTGAAGACGTGTGCTTAAATGCTTACATGGAATAAGCATACTTTATTTTGAGAAATAAAAATAAAAGTGTCATATTTTTTGGATAAAGATTTTTTGTGTGATAAAGATTTTTTTTTTGAGGGAAAATGAGCTTCATTAATCTAACTTGATTACAATCTTCACATAACACTGCAAAAACTAGGCTAGGGCAATCTTCCACCTAGTATTCATCATTTGCAGTATAGAAGCCATAATGTGCTAGCTTATGGGCCACCATATTCCTAGACTTTAAAATATGCTTTATATGGCATTCTTGAAATATAGACATCCTCCACCTAGCTTCATTCTATAGTGGTTTCAATAGGAGAGATCTCGCTCTGTTCCCTTGAGTTTTTTAATCACAGTCAAGCTGTCTTCCTAGAGCAAGATTCTTATGAAGCCCATGTCTTGTGCAAATGTTAGAGCTTTTTCTATGCACTCGTATCGGTCTGCAAAGGGTCGTTAACTTCATGGATGCAGATTGCTGCTACCCCAAGAACCTCACCCTTATGATCTCTGGTTACAATCCCTATACCTCCTCGTCTTTGATTATTAAAAGCTCTATCAAAGTTTACCTTTACCATCCCAGCATTCGATGCATCAGCTGTGTGAATAGGAACAACTATTCAGCTTGTGTGAATGTTTTGTGAATCAGCTCTTTATTCCATTGCATCAGCTGGTTATCAATTAGCTTTGCAACTAAACTGCTTTCGTCCATCTCCACTCTTGGGGGTTGTATCTTGAATGGCCAGGTTATAGGGAGCCATTTATCTTTCCATATTTGAATGCTGTGTCCATTTTCCACCCTCCATCTCATTCCTTTTTCTAGCACATCCCTAGCTCCCCATATGCTCCTCCACGTGTGAGAAGGGTTATGTCCAATCCTTGCTTCCACGAAGGTTCCATTCACAAAGTATCTAGCTTTTAAAACTTGGTATGCCAGCGCGTCCGTTTTGATATAAGCCTCCAACCTTGTTTCCCTAATAAAGCCTTGTTAAATGCCTCCATTTCTCGAAACCCCATCCTTCTGGATTTTGGCAAGCATAATTTCCTCCACTTTTGCCAATGGATGCCCTTTGTCCTCGTTTCTTGGCTCCACCAATACTTGCCAATAATGTCGTTTATCTCCTTACACAGGGTTCGCGGCAGCATAAATCAATTCATAACATAGGCTGGAATGGCTTGAAGTACAGACATGATAAAACCTCCTTCCCCCCTTGTGAAAGGCATATCTTGGCTTTAATCCTTTCTTTTATCTCTCTGAATGATATCGATCGGTTTTGCCCCACCGTGGAAGGCAATCCAAGATATTTCTCTGGGTTCGCTATAACTTGGATGCCAAACAATATTTTCAATAACTGTTGTTGGTCCAAGTTGGTGTTACTGTTAAAGAACAGAGCTGATTTGTTGAAATTAATTTGTTGACCAAAGCCTTCCTCGTATTTCTGTAGCATGTTCTTTACCTGTCCGCCATCGCTTGCAGTTGTTGACAAAAGGTAAGCTATCTTCTGCAAAGGAAAGGTGAGTTACTCTAGGCCCATTTCAACTACCTTAAACTCCATGGAATAAGCACTCTCTTTGAATTTTAACAAGTTGACAGTCCTTCACTACATATCAAGTAAATATCTTATTTTAAAAAAAAAAAAAGTTCCTTTATTATGTGTTTGATAATTTGCCTCATTTCCCTTAGAAACCTTTCTCAGTTGCAGTTATAGCTGCTAGCTTGTCTTGTTGGCAGAAGTAAGTTCTATTTTGGATTTGTGTTTGTCAGTTTATACGCTGTCTGTTAACTAATTGCTGACAATTCGTTAATAAAGAAATTAAAAATTTTTGAAACCCTTGACAATAAGTGTGATGGGAAATGTTTGGTTAGAATTACTTGTAACTAGAAAATGGAGTCCTTAGTAAATGAATCTTGACCAACTGGTTCCCATTTGGTTTATTAACATTGTATAGCTTCAATATATTGACAATGGATCAAAATTAAATTTTTTTTTTTATTTAATTTTATTATGTAATTTTTTTCTTTATTGTAATTTTGTCCTTCAATAAAAAATTACTCTTAAAATTTTAATTTATTTATATTTACACATGAGACCCCATTATTTTGCAAAATAAATCACTTTTATTGCAATTATAGTTTTATTCTTTTTAATATTTATAAAATTCCATATATTTTTAATTTTTTTTCATTTTTAATAATGGAGACAAATTATAAAGAAACTAATTTTAGGTACAAAGAATCCCTTCCCTTCACTATGTTTAGATTGGAAAATCAAATCTATATAATGATAGTCTACGTATGATTGGATTAAGGATTCGTGGTTTTTTTAGTAGTGTATGAAGGAGCAAATAATTTTATCTACTTTTTAAGTATAAAGAAAATTTTATATAATTTTTCTATCAAATCTATCTTGATTTTTATAAAATGAAGCAGATTGTTTTGTTCCTTCTATTAATTGGTCTAAATGTTGCAGATGTTCGGATGATATTGTGTTCCAACAGTGGCTCCATATCTGATTTCATAATCAATTGTACGATGAATTTGCCATTAATATTTTATTGTTTTATGGGAATTAATAACTTGAACTTATTTTTATTTTAAAAAACATTAGAAAGGAGTTGGCACAATGTCGTGGGTAGAATAGACAGTTTGAGTATTCTTATCGTATTTTATACAAAAATTATATATCATAATTCAGATCGACACAAAAAACATAAAATATTTTTTTTTTGTTTATGTTAAATTCATATATGTTTTTGCTAAAATTTTAACTCATTTTACTTTAATTTTTTTTTCATATCTTTTTTGCATCATGTTTTAAATTGACTGGTTTAAAAGTAGGTCATTTTTTTTTGCCATATTTATTCATATTTTTTGTAAAACTTATCAAATTAAAATAGAGATAAAAAGAAAGAAAGAAAAAAAAAAAAAAAGGAGAATCAAACGTGAATATTTTAATTGGGCCTTTTTCTCATAAAATTAATTTTAAAAATAAAAATAAAAAAAGGAAACATGAGAAAAAGGTAGATAAAAAAAAAAACTAAAAAAGAGTAGAAAAGGGAAAAAATGAGCTAATAAAAGGTGCTTTATTGATATCCATATTGAATTTAAAATATAAATTTGTTAAATTAAAGTAAAATTTTTAATGTTATTAATATAATACATATATATGTCTAAAACTAAATAAATAATAAAAAAATATTTTTTTATATCCATCTAGAAATGGATCTAGGCTATCACCATAATACATATTCAACTTAATCTCATTTTTTATTAAAAAAAACGTGATCTATTTATCTAATTAAAAATATAAAAAATGAAATTAAAAAAAAAGCCCAAACGGGGTGCCATAGTGGACACATCTATAATTTTTATAGATTACATTTTAATTATATATAAATATAGTATTTATACTAAATTAAGATGTTAAATAATAATTTTATTAATATAATACATATATAAAAATAAAATTAAAAATATAATTTAATATATATAGTCAAAGTAAAACAAAACACCATAAACCCGTCTTCAACTCAACATTGCTTTTTGGTGAAAACTTTGATTCAATTTCAAATAAAAAAGAATTTATTTATCGAATTTAAATAAATTAAGATCTATCATATATAGATTATTTTATTATTCATACCTTCGTTAACACTTTTCTTAATGATTTAATTTACCAATTACATTTATTGTCCATTATCTAATTGAAAAAAACAAAAAAACAAACAAGCGAAATAAAGTATCACGTATACACATACAGTATTTTTTTTAATTTATCTAATTAAAAAGCAAAAGAATTAAAGTAAGAAAAAAATTTAAAAAGTTTTTTAAAAAATGAAAAATTTTATATCATTAATTTAAACTTTTTATTTTAATTAATTTTTTTCCTTTTATCTTTAATATTTTTATTTATATTTTAATTTTATAGAGCAAATTTGGTATTATTAATTAAAAATAACCTTTTTTTAATATCATTTTTCTACCATAAAACTAAAAGAAAGCTTAAAAAAAGGAAAAAAAAATCAAATTACTATGTCGCATTAATATCTCTATTAAAAGATTTTTTTACAAATTTATCCAATTAAAAAAAAAGACTAAAAGATATTTGTAACCATAATATAAAATTGGTTCCACCTATTACAAAAAAAAAAAAGAATATTTATTAAATATAGAAAAAAAAAAAAGGAAGAGAAAAAAAAAAAAGAAAAAGAAAAAAGAAAAGAAAAAAAGTTGAGTTGGCACATAACATTAATAAAGATAAGTTTTTTTAAAAAAAAATTTATGTTACAGATTTAAAAAAAAAACTAAAAAAAAGAAAGGAAAAAGATTAAATCTGGATGTAACATCAACGCCTTTATTAATCACCATTTTTAAAAGTTATCAAATTAAAAAAAAAACAAAAAAAATATTTTTAATAATAATATCTATTTTTAAAAATTCAAAATATTTATTAATAAAAAAAAAATCATAAATAGAGAAAAAATTAAAAAGCAAAAATGAAAAAAGAATTAAATGAGTTGTCATGTAACATACCTTTAATATCAAGTGAATCATTCAAAAAAATTAAAATTAAAAAAATTATTAAATATAAAAAATAAAAAAAGTTAAAAACTAAAAAAAATATTGATGTACCCTTAACATCAAGTAGGTCTAACAAAAAATAAATAGAAAAAAGATTAATTAAGTTTTTTCACAAAAAGAAAAATAGTATCAAGTGGATCCTAACTTAAAAATATTTATTAACCATAATATAAATAAAAAAGACATGTGGCACCAAATAAAAAAGTCTAGGAAAGAAAAAAAAAAAGGTCCCACAAAAATAATATAAAAGTGGGTAGCACCTTTAAAAAATCTGATGTGATGTCGATACCTTCGTTAATATCCACTTTTTAAAAAATTATCAAATAAAAAAATGAAAAATATAGATTTTTAATAATATTATTAAATGGGCCTAACATCTAAAAAAATTAAAAATTCTAAAATTTTTATTAAATAAAAAAGGGAGAAATGTAAATAAAAAAGATTAGAAGGCAAAAGAGAAAATAAATGCCTTAACATGTGATATACCATCAATATCAAATTAGTCTTAAAATAAAATATATATCTTTATTAAATATATAAAAAAAAGAGATAAAGAGAAAAGTTAAAAACTAAAAAATATATATAACCTACTATTAGCATTAACTAGGTAAAACAAAAAATATATATTTAAAAATATTTATTAATTTTTTTAAAAGAAAAAAATATATCAAATGGGTCAAATAAAAAATTATTAATATTTAAAAAAGAACATGTGGCACCCAAATAAAGAAGTTTAGGAAAAAACAAAAGTAACAACAAATGAATCTCATAAAAATAATTTTAAAATGAATCAAATGAAATAAAAAGAGTTATGGAATATATAAAAAAATAAAATCAAAAATAAAAAAATGGATACCAAAAAAATTACAAGCAGGGGCCCATAAAATAAAAATAATAAAAGATTTTGTGAAAATATATAAAAATAAAAGGAAAAAAAAACTAAAAAAAAAAGTTACACTTGGCTCATGCAAGTAAAAAAATAAAAATAAAAGAAACTAACATGTTGGACCAATGTGAAAAAAAATTTTAAAAAAATTTTGAAATTTGAAAAAAAAATATACATGTCAACCAATAAAAAACTAAAAAAAAAAATTGGAGTCGACGCATATACTACAATGCAATTCTGTACAACTGTAGGATTTATATTATACATGTACAAGTTTAGGGAACAAAAATCCATTTCCAGTAAGCCATGGTCAATTTTTCAATGTGCAAACAGAGGTACTAAAAATCAATGAAAATTTTATTAAAACTAATTGACAGGCCTTTACGATGTTGCAGGTTTGTTTTAACTATGAAAATACAACCTACAACTGACTTAGAGCAGAAAACAAATTGGCTAGTAAAGACCTAATAAAACCATTGTTCTTGACCATTTCCTGCAAATTCCTTAAGATATAACACCTTTTAAGTTAGGAGACAAAAAACAAATGCAAGATAATAATTGTTAGGACTCACCTCATCCTTGTAATTCATACATGCCTCTTACATAGTTAGCAAGTCATTTCTCGAGTCTTTGAAGCACACAAACAAGAGATTAATAAAGAATTTAGTTCAAGTATGAATTAAAGCACTTAATACAGAACGAAGCCAACTATGATTAACTTAACACCTTAACTACTACATACAATAGGAAATTCTCAAGCTATCACTCAGTATTTTAACTCGATTGATCATAACATGTGTTTGTAACAATTATATCCGACCTTGTAACTTCAAGTATCAATAAGAAAACCTTTAAGATATGAAACTTGGAATAAATCACAACTAGTGGAAATGCTCTAGTACTAAATTGGCCTTTATGGTAAAAAAAGAAAAGAATTCAAAGCCCAGTTCCTATTATCCAACTCTTCATAAAGTATAAAATGATGGCAAAAAATATATTT